GGGGGGGGGGGGGGGGGGGGGGGGGGTGTACTCATAGTCGTGCATGCCGTAGTCGTTCGACCATTGACCTCGCATCCCTACAAAGCCGGGGCGGAGCACGCCGGGTTCTCACCGGACCAGGCTCTCACAACACCAAGCGCGAAACGCCGTGAGGTATTGGGCGAGTCGCATGAAGGGTACGCTGCATCCTGCGGAGGGTGTTCGGCATCTTCTGCTTACTTCCTTGCGTACGGATGACAGCTGCGTATGACTTAATTTATTTTCTGGTGCTTTCACTTCCAGAGACAGTTATAAGCACTGTGTAACTGCCTCGAGGATGCTTTACCATTTTAACACAACGTGGTGCGATCATTCCCCTTGCGCGGAGTGAGGGTTCTCGACCCCACACAACATAATCTACTCGACCACCATTGTGGTTACCGCCAAAAAAAAAACAGAGGTAAAAAAAAAAGCGGTAATAACCTGGTTGCCGAGTTCGCGAAGTGAATTGGCTTGTTTTACAACGTCGTTGCCAAGCGACGAAAACCCAATCCCGATGGCAAACACCGGGGGGGCGGGGAAGGGGGGGGGGGGGGGGGGGCAGAAACTCATGTCGTTCCAGTCGTTGTGCGAACAACGTTGATGGTATTGCAAGCACCAACCAGGGCAGTTTAATCGGTAGTCCATTGGTAGCAGTTGAATGTTTTAACGAAATAATGAAAAACATCACGACCATAACCTCCATGTGTCTATGGTTGCTCCAGCCGAGCAACCTGTTTGCTTCTACCCGCGAGTCGCGCAACACAAGGACAAAAGAAGCTGATACAAGGGGTGGGGCTACTAAACAACACACCCGTGATGGTGTGTTCGGCGTTGGACGACCATTCATTCCGACCCGATGCACTGCCCACACTCATGACTCTCTCGACGGGGGGCGTATCTATGATGACACATACATAGTACTGGGATATTACACGCACGTGCGCTCAAAGAGATTGTGTGGCGGCCTTTCCCGCCAGATGTACAATACGAGCAAGTCCAGTCTTCGTCGAGATGTATGTTCCGAAAGTTTTGCGGTGACCACGAACGACTACTACTTGTTCCGAAGGTTTTGACCTAGAACTCACCTGACCTGTTGTCTGCCGTCGGTCAGCCGTTCATCGCCATGGTCGAGGCTACAGCCAACGAAACATACACGCGCACGCACCTGAAGAGATCCATCGTCGTAAGACGTCAGAAGCCAAGCGCCGTGATTCACCAGACCCGCATTCGAGAGCGGCGATTGCAGCCCCCCTTTGCTCCAGATCGTCTTTGTGCACGTGCCGGTTGGGACGTCCCAAATTTTGACCGTCGCGTCGAGCGCCGTCGTAACCAGGACATCTTATGGGGAACGACCAAACAAACAGAAAAACCGAAGTGATTCCCACGCACTGTTAAATATATGCATATCGCTCATGTTGCTTTTTGGGGGGGGGGGCGCTGTTGGCAAGTATCAAGAGAGGTTTGGCAGAAACCGTTACGATCCCAAAACACAAGAAACTTGCTAGGGATGCCCCACGATTCGCCCGAACCACAATGAAAGTCATTCGCAACCCCGAGGCACGCGACGAGAAGAGGTCAATGAGCGATTCGCCTCGAAACACGCCTTTGTACATCGAGCGGCTCTGCGGCCAGCATCAACCGTACTCGCTAGGCTCAATTCGACCGCACAGATGATTCAAACTTTAGCGCTTCGAAGAAAAGGAGGTTCTTGGATATCGCTCCGCTTACTCCAGACGCAGCCGCCAGACAGAGCAGCTCACTCTCGTGCCTCTTAGGCAAGCTTACCTGGGTTGTGTGGTGTGTAGAGAGATCGAATTGGCCTTCCGTGCCCCGTCAGCAGCCGCGTGGGGTCTCTCTCTCCGCCGAACCCGGGATAAATCTTGCCGCGCTTGCGACCGTCCCACACGGCGACGACCGCGCGCTGCTTCTTCCTACGACCGCCGCCACCGCCTTGCTCCCCCGCGACGAAGACGAACTTTCCTCTTGCGGACACCATAAGAATCTTTACCCCGAAGGTGCTCCGGATGGTCCTCTTGCAGGTGAAGTCTTTCGCACACCAAAACTGAGACACGCGAAACAGAAGCAGAAAAAGAAAACACAGCTTAGTACGCATATGTGCGATGTGATCAACTGCCAGCCGAGAACGCGAACAGAGAGAGCACGCCACTCCACTATGCCTTACTGAAATACCTCTCTCTGTGCAGAAAAGACAAAGAGGCGCGTTCCAAATGCATGATGCGACGCTTTCGGTTGACGAATTTCCCAAAGTACGGTGGGGTAAATGCATTAGGTTGGCCCTTCGACGTCACCGAAATACTCTACCATCTCGCGTCAGGCTCTATTTAGACACACATGCGCACAGACGAGCGGAGAGATCGGCCCCAAGAGTTAGGAAGGAAGAGGGGGGGGGGCGGAGGGTCAGTTCGTCGGGTCCCATTGTATTTCGTTTTGAACTCCCCCTCGAGCGGCTTAGCACCATTTTTCAGACGGCTTGGCCATCCTGTCGTACTGGCTACCAGACGATCGATGGCCGTTCACAACCATATTGGTGCATGCATTCGAACGACTTCGCTACTCTACCTGACGAAAATGCAGCAGTAGGTATCGCTCCCAGTTTTTTTGTCCGGGCGCCCCTTCCTCTACAACCGACTAGGAGTCGGTAAGCTACGTGCCTTCAACGTCGTGGTGTCAGCACTGACGAAGAAGCTCCCGTCCGGGTAAGCGGCGAGGTGACACACCGGGACCCCGTATTCGTGGCCGTTGTTCCGCAGGTCCGAGGTTGGGCGCGCCCCAAGGCCCTCCTTGCTGCTGCTGCTGCCGCTGCCGCCGCCGCTGCTGCTGCTGTCGCTCCCCGTGCTCGGCCCACAGCAGTCCCATACGAGGACCCCGCCCGTGGCCCCTCCGGCCGCCATGAGCATGCCCCTGGATGGGTGGTGCAGGACGATGTCGCAGCTCAAGTGCCCAGCGTGGTAACCTCCGTCTTCGTTGGACCCCGCCTGTTCGTCAGGTCGAGCGACCGATCGATGCGGTGGCGCGTCGTCAGCAACGGAAGCGGCTCGTGTATCACAAGAACTACCTCGTGGGAGGGGGTGAAGCCGTGCCGAGATGATGGCCGTGACCGATACCTCGTCTGTGCTGTGTCACGTAGGCAGGTCGTGGGATCGACGTTGGGTAGTCAGTGCATGCAAGCGGGGACAGGGACTCTTCGTGATAACGTAGTGTAAAGTACAAAGTGCCCTACAATATTTTTTGGGTGATGGGGGTGCGGGGTTGAGGTCGAACGCTGATTGAAATCAGTTGAGGTGCTACAGTAAGTATGTTTATGCCAGTACTTGCATACATGTGACAGATCCCACCCCCGAACCCACGATGTAAGGTAAAGTTTGTCCCCAGTATTCGTCCAAGTAATTTCTTTCCGACGATACCTTGCGTAATTCTCTACAATAATGGGTGATATTCTCAAATGGATACTCCACCTGCTTGCCCAGGACTACATATACCTGTAATGCATCTTACTCTCGAGTACACTACCACCGTTTGTCTTGGACACACGCAACAGAATCGAACGTTGGGGAGATAGGGACCCTTTCAACGGTCACCTCCACACCTACCTACCGCTTATGAAAATATGTACAAAGAACTGTACGGTGTGAAATAGATTGGAAAGCTCACCAAAGGTGGTGCGAGCAGCTCCACCTCGCCGGAGCGCGTACCCCAGATACGAACGGCAAAGTTTTTCGCTCCGGTGAGGAGATGAGCACCGTCGGCTGAAAATGCAATCTCGGAAATGTCCCCTCCAGCGCGACCGCCGCCTGCACTTGGACTGCGAATCTCCCTCACGACGATCGACTGCCCTCTTTCTCTTTTGTTGGACTCCGCTGATGATGACATCATGCCTGCGAGCATGGGATGTACAAGTTGACAATTAGTCTAGACTATGTGTGTTTTTGAGCCGCCACCGGCCGCTGACCCCTTCGTTATGTCTTGCACAGCACAGCAGTTTCTCCAGTTGTCCGTCCAACTGTCCGTCCAACTGTGCAGAGAGAAATATGCATAGAGATATGTGAGAGCGGAGAGGACGCCCGCCGTAACCACAACGCGAGGAGACAATCACACATGCTTACGAAGAGAATAGAATAGGTGTGTGTCTACATAGTCATATAGACGAGACTAGGGGTGATGAATGATGAGTGCGGCAAAGAGGAACGAAAGAAAAGTACAACTGTCTAAAAGGGAGCAGATTTGATAGATGGGTGCATGTAATGGGTGACGGCAAGCACGAGAACTACAACATTACATGTAGAGATGTAGAGCTACTGCATACATACACATCCGTAGACAAAAACATGTTCGTGTACGTGTACATGTACTCACCCGCACAAGATCTTTCTCTCCGCACGCTGAACGATCTTATATTCTCTCACTGCCGTCGTGCAAAAATTTATACACATGCGTGTGTTGTTGACTCTACCATGCAAGATAAAATGAGACAGGCTGACTGGTCGATCAACACGGCCCAATCTTAACCGTCCGTGTTCTCACGTGGTACCCTTGGGTACACATCACGTACGTCGACTACGCATGCAGTGCATATCATACAACAACCTTTCATCATGCCACCTGCGCGTGCCTGCCGGCCTCTCGAATCATGTCAGTTTTCCGATGAAATTCCGCCGAAGCTGTCGCGTTCACCCGAGATTACGAGTTTTCGCCGTCGCGTCGTTTCCGGTCAGACATTACTGATGTCTAGCATCGTCTGTATAGCCTCGCACCCCCCCCGTCGTGGTCGCGCTGCGGCCGCCGCCCTAGGTGGCCCGTCTGGGGGTTGTGCCTGCTCTGTGTTGTTGTGAAAATTGCGCACGACTCCCACCACTCCTACAAATCCTAATCTTCCATATTGGCCCGCTCTCGCTGTACCTTTTTCTTTGTCCGCGCGCGCGATCCGAGGACAAAAGCAGACCCACCTCCCACACTCCTCCCTGCCTCCCCTCCCTCTCCTTCTCCAGTCCTCTCTAGCCTCTCGTCTGTACCAAAACACCATGCCTGCCGGAAGAGAAGCACCCGCCGAGCCGTCCTTCCCGTGGCGGAGCGACATGCTCGCGGGCAAGACGGCCATTGTCACGGGAGGAAGCGCGGGCATCGGCGCGGCGATCACAATTGCGTTGGTGAGAGGCAGCGGAGGCTTCTTCTTCGCCTACAATGCATAGTAGTGCTGTTGTGTTCTTTTGTGGCTTCGGCCAGCTGCAGGGGGGCCGGGGGTATAGCTGTGCGCGCGCTGTGTCGGTGCTTGGTGCGCGTGCGTGTTGAGTTGTGTGCACAGCAGCAGCAGCAGCAGCAGCAGCAGCAGCAGCAGCAGCGAGGCTGCATCACGGCAATCGAGGAACACAAGCATCGCGTGAAATCCTTCCTTCTCCCCCTACCGCATGTTCCTGTGGCTGTCTCTCTCTGTCTCTCTCGCGCGCTCTCGTGCACAGCTCCAGGCTGGGGCTTCCGTGGCGGTGCTTGCGAGGAGCCGCTCCAAGTACGACAAGCTCGTCCCCGTCCTGGAGGAGAGGAAGCTGCCGGTCGACAAGACCACCTTCATCTCCATCGACCTGTCGAGCACGGATGCCATCCGGAAGGCGACCGTGGAGGCCAACGAGTGGGCCGGCGGCTGTGCGGATATCCTGGTCAACAACGGTGAGTCAATCATACAAATCACAACACCCCACAGCAATTGTGCGGATCTACCACGCTGCAGCTCAGGGCCCGCACTGCTGTGCACCGGTAAGGACACGGGTGGAGTAAGCGTGGTGCCTCCCCTCGGAATGCTGCTCACCATCACGGTCTAAATCTACCACGCCTGTTTAGGGAGGGGCTGCTCTAGTATTGTTCTTGGCACGTGCCGCTCTTTTCCGAGCCACGCGAAGAGCTCTTAAAAGCACAGATGTTCAGCACACACGAATCCATCCCGCCCATACCGCCCGAGAGCAAGCGACACTCTAGCACTATCATGCAAGGGACAACCCGATGTGGGTAGCTCATTGCGGGACCGTAGTGACAGCAGTTGTGGTGCAGAGATGAGCAGCATCATGGCTGATTTTCTTCCGGAAGCATTTTTAGGTTCCGTCGTTTGCGCACGTCTTTTTTTTTCCCGCGAAAACAACAAGCCGCGGCGAATCCTGTCCCTTGATGGACGCAAAAACACGCCCACGAGAGCTGCATTTTCTGCAGGATAGGGCTAGCATTTCTCCTGGCTCCTCACCCTGTTGAGCGCATGGCGTTGTACATGTCCCGCGCGCTGTCCGTCGACGCTAGGTATTTAGGATTGCACGCTTCCATTTGATGATGAAAAAAACTGGCCTGATTTTTCATTCATCCGCCGATCACGCTCACCCTAGAGTACAACTCTAAATTTTTTGTGTGGACGAAGAATCCGGGCAGGAAAATTTCCCGGAACAAGCCGGTCGCCCCGGCGGTCGATCTATGGTGAACCTCGTACGTACGTGGCATGCGTTCGACGGTGGTTATATCTCGAATGGGTATTTGTAGTCTCTCTGTGTTTGCTTTTATTTTTCCTCACATGTTTTGTGACAACGGACCGCGTCTTTGCTAGATTTTGGGATTTGACGCAAGTTTAATGTGAACACAACAACAACAACAACTACCGTATATGACACAAGATAACACACCCCCTGGACCGATTTCCAAAGCTCGATTACTCCACGACGAAGAGGATGCACAAACAAAACGATACATTTTCGAAAATTTCTCGACGAGACGATTCCAACGCTGCCGTTTTCGGCGCCGTGACTCTTCCTGCTGTTGAGAAATCGAGCTTTGAAAATCGGCCAAGGGGGTGTGTTATCTTGTGTCCTATACGGTATTATAATGCTGAAGTAGTACACAGCAGTACCCAGCCGGTTTCCCTCCACTCACTGAAAAGACTCCACCACATCCCGTTCGACTGTGGGTATATCTCGAATGGGTGGTCTTTCTGTGTGTGTTTTTATTATTCCCTAATTGTAGCAGGTTGGACTACAGTACCACAAGATGACTGACTGCTGTTGGTACAGCAGTAACGGGCAGGTGGGGTGGAGTGGTCGCCCCCTCACATATCCACAATTTTCAATTTTCACACTCACTCGTGTTGGCATTTTCGTTGTGTTCAGCTTCCCTTCCGCCTCCGCGAGCATTTTCCGAGAGGACATGGGTTGAACATAAAATTCCAACATGACACTGGACAGCTGGACAGTTACAGCGGTACAGTAGGGCAGCAGTGCCCCTGATAAATGTTGTGCATGGTCTGCCCGGTCTGGAAAGGGACGGCTCGCCCTTCTCGCAATGCAAACAACTATTAGAGTACATGTGCGCATACAAAAATTACGAAGCCTTGAATTCAGAGTTGGACAGGTCCGACGCGTCGATTCTTAACATTCAACACATGTTCAGCATTTGATTTCGCCGTTCAGAACCACTGATATACTTACCCTTAGTTTGCTTTCGAGCGATAATTTCAACCCAATTTCTCGTCGTGCTCGCCAATATGTATCATCATATCCCGAAGACCGGATCTAGGAATATATCCCACACAGTTTCTGCGACAATGAATTTTTCAGTCGATACATACGACGGACTAAGGCTGATTCTTATACACTTGGATTCCTTTCCCAAACAAACTCACTTTTCAGGATGGGCGAAAACCCGGCTGGAAAAAAGTCCGGCCGTTCTTACAGTGAGCCGGATTCCTGAGGCGGATTCTTGGGGGGTGGGTGTAGATCAACCCAGACGACATTATCATCGAGTGCGACCTGAGTTCTTGTTGACGTATCGCTCCCATCAAGGGCTCCCAGCAACCCTATGCCGAAGGGCTTGCTATTCTGCACGCTGGCTGTTGATGGTCGCTAGGCACGCGTGCGTAAAAAAAACATATCGCATCGCACCAAGCATGGGAGACGCCGAAACAGGCCAACCCGCCACGAGACAGAAAAAAGAGCCGCTTCTTGTCAGAGAGGGGAGGACACCGCAACTGATTTCTCGCTCCCTAGCCCACCGATCAAAGCCAGACTGGTCAGGGCGTGCTCTCTGTTCCTTGCTCTCTGCCGGAGTAAATTTGCTCGGCAGCGCGTACGCTCGATCGACGGAGAGAAGCATGCGCGTGGTGCCCGTTGCTCTTTTGAACTGTGATTTTTTCTGGTCTGCTTCACTTGAGAATAGAGTATTGTGTTGAAGACCTGGAATTTTTTTTCAACACACAGCTTGTCTACACGCAGACGACGATTTCGAATGATTGGATCAACGAGCTGCTGAGCAACTCTACTCCGGCAGAGAGCAAGTAACAGAGAGCACGCCCTGACCAGTCTGGCTTCGATCGGTGGCCTAGGGAGCGAGAAATCAGTTGCGGTGTCCTCCCCTCTCTGACAAAAGCGGCTCTTTTTTCTGTCTCGTGGCGAGTTGGCCTGTTTCGGCGTCTCCATGCTTGGTGTGATGCGATATGTTTTTTTTACGCACGCGTGCCTAGCGACCATCAACAGCCAGCGTGCAGAATAGCAAGCCCTTCGGCGTAGGGTTGCTGGGAGCCCTTGATGGGAGCGATACGTCCAGAACTCAGGTCGCACTCGATGATACTGTCGTCTGGGTTCACCCAGCGGTGAACTTTTTGGGATGAGAAATCTGGGTGGGCACCATCCTGATTTCTTCCAAACTTTTCGGGTGGAGGCTACCCAAAAAGCTGAAGCCGGATTTTGTCGACCAAAAAAACTGAAGAATCTGGCTGCATAAGAAGCCGGATTTCTGCCCATCCTGAAAAGAATCAGCCTAAGCCAACGCTTATTTACAGTGGTCTGTCAAGTTTCTACCTGTCGACAGCGCGAAAATACTTTTTTTTATATATATATATATGACGCCAACGAATCCATCTCTATCTAAGAAAAGAGTCTAAGATAGATTAGCAATGAATCCATAGCGTCAGCGAAGGCTACCTGTTTGTTATAAACCTAGGCAGGCTGTCGCACCTAATCTCTCTACCCCTGGTCCCCTTCACGAACACCCGGAAGGGAGGGCGGGAGGGTTTCCGGCCAATCACCTAGCCGAAGCCCACCCCTGACCTTTACCTAATACACACGCGATGACCTCTACGGCAGATCGCCCCATTGTCTCACAGGAGCAGCTGCGGTGTGCACTCTTCTTGCTGCTGCTGCTGAAGTTGTACTCCAATACTTCATCACCACCGTGCTCATCCAACCTTCCGATGAAACTTCTTTGCAATTTCTTGCCTACCTTGCCACTGTACGATTCAATCCCGCGCCACAAACCCCAGATTTCCTTCGTTCAATCTTACACATTTGTCACAGTTTCGCTGGGAAACAAGGTATACTATGTCTCAAATCAGGTGAACAACACAGCAATTGATAATTTGATGCTGTTTTTGAAAGATTTTTCAAGAAATACGTCGAAAATCGTCAAAAACATCCGCCTCCGGCGACCCCTCCGAGGAGGCCCCTACGCGAGGGGCGCCCTCCCGGGGGGCCCCTGCGGGGGGCTGCTTTGCCGCACGAAGGGCCTGCGGCCCTAGCGGGAACGCTGGTTGCAAGAAATGTTGAAGTTTTGCAACTTTTTCCTCAGGTACGCTCAGTATGGGAGCAAAACGCTGCAATCTGGAGAAAAGGTTATCCAACTTTTTTCGCCACGAAGGTGTCGAACAAACGTTGCGCGGCGCAACTTGGGTCAATCCACGTCAAGCTGCTACCGGTACCACACACGTAGACCCTCTCCAGCTTCGATTGTGGGAAGGCCATGATCACCGATATGTCGACGACTACTTAACGAGTTGCCTCATGAATGGTACCTGGAAGGAGGTGATGCCATGGGCTGTTGGGCAATGCGAAGGTTTGGCACCGTGAGGTGCCGAATGCGCCAGGAAAAAAGTTTGTGCTGTGCACGATCGTCAACGGCCGCGAGCGGTTAGTTCCAGTTCGGCGTTTTTGACCGCGACGGGTTTGGTTATCCACCGATAACTTTCCGAAGGAGAGAGCAACAACATTAGCAAGGCCACTTGGCGGGAGGTAGCTCTCTGCTCTATCGTTCATGCCCAAGGCTTGGTGCCGTGGGGTAAAGCTTTGATTGACCCTACAATACCCACGTCAGAGAGCGGTTGGTTCAAGTTCGCGGGGATTGTGTGCTCATGGTTTGGTTTTTCAGCGATAACGTTTTCGAAGGAGGCAACAGCAACAGGATTGCCACCCAGAGGGAGGTAGCTCTATCCGGCATCTTTCTGGTACCACGTTAGATTCCTTGGGGTATCGTGAGTGTGGAGAAAAAAGGTTGCAACTATCCTCTCCCGCACGTTCTGGCCGGTTTTTCGCGGTGTGATATGAAAGGCGTGTGCCTGCTTCTCGCCGTTGCTAAAAAAAAAATTGACCACGCCTCCGCATTCCGCCAGTCCCGTGCACGAAAAGTTACATCGACAAGGGTTCCCGACCAAAAGTTGCAAAAAGACTTGCAGCTTATTGTGCATCTTGCTGCTTCATAAGAAGCAGTGTTACATGGATGATTGGTCATTTTTGTTCACGATGCTAACGCCCTCCCCCCCCGCGCGCTCGTTTTCCAGCTGGCGTGGCCACCATCGCGCCAATCCTTGAGGCATCTGTGGAAGACTGGGACTGGACTATGAACGTGAGTAAACTAGCATCAAGATACCTGTTGACAGAATGGCCTTTTGAATTTTTTCATGGTGCGATTGGTGATACAGCAGTAGCTCTCGCACGTCGAAGTTCGGTGGTTGTTAATGGGCGGCGGTTGAGCAAGGCACCATGGAAAGGCTCGAACATACCTCGCTGTGATTGGGGTGGGTAGGTTCTTCGCGTTTTGGCAAAGCAAGCCTCACGAGGGGGCCTCTTTCGTATTGTTGTTTTGTGTGTGAAGGGTGCTGGTTTTCCTGCCCTTGTTCAGGCTTGGTCTAATTAAAGGAGGCCCAGAGAAGAGTTGCGGGAGTGAGGGCGGGGGGTAGAGTGGGAAGTTTCTACTGAATAAAACCGATGTTTTTGTCGTTGACTCCTAGATAGCATGAAACTACGGAGGAGATATCTGGTGATATTCATGTATTTATATATACCTATACAGTGTTTTTGTGATTAGCACCTGCTGGCATCACTGATAATATGTCAGTGTATCGGCTCAACTAGACCCTAAATAAGCCCAGTATCCAGCCGGTTTCTTCATCCCATCAATCAATCACTGTAAAGAATTCAACGCATCCCCTTGGACTGCTGTGGTATTATCTCGAACGGGTGGTCTTTCTGTGAGGTTATGTATACTTTCTAAAAACCTATGTCGGAAGACCTGGAAAACCATTCCCAGGAAGGTGTTCTTTCACAACCTATTGGTACAACATAAAAGTGTGGCAGGAGACAATCTGACTGTTTTCCCCACTTTTCTCTTGTGCATCAGGTGAACGTCAGGGCACCCTTCATCATGGCCCAGGAGTGCGCCAAGAGGATGATCGCGCGCGGCAAGGGAGGAAAGATCGTCAGCGTCTCGAGCACGGCGTCCCTCTTCGCGCTGCACGACCACGCGGCGTACTGCACCAGCAAGGCCGCCATCAACGGCCTCACTCAGGTACGCCAGACATAAGATGGACCGCAGTGAAAGCTAGAAAGAAAGAAGAGGGTGGGCATCCAACGAGGCATTTCTAGATTGCAACAGGTTGGATGCGATATTATATGATCACCTGGAATGAGTGCTTGGTGTGTGGCACATTTGGTGCGCTTGGCGAGAGCACTCCGTACTCAGCAGGAATGCAGCGTTTTCATGTAGAAATGTCTGCAGATCAAATAGAGAGTAAGGCCGAGTCTTACTGCTTGATTATTTCTGAGATTTTTTCTCTCAGTCGGGGGGGGGCTGCACGGAAAAAATGATCAAGATCCAAACGACCGTCTTACGGTTTCTCTAGGATATTTTTTTCTGAAGGGAAAAAAGAGGCTGATTCATGTTCTTGTGGATCACAACATCCTTCAGTACACGGTTTTGGCTCGTGTGCGACCAACAAGACACCAAGCGCCCTATTTATGGGTTGCCTGCAGAGGGCATGTGTATCGTCGCACGTTATCGGCTGCAGTTTGTGAATGTCGTCGGCCAAAGGCCTCTCTCTGAAGGCATGCGTTGTACACTGATCACACTCGACTCGGAGCAAGCAGCAGAAAAAAAAGGCGACGTCCAAAAAAGGCAACACCGAAACACACCTCAGTTCACGTTTGCAGGCGGTATTCAATCAAAACTGGACAATGAGCTCTGTTTCTGGGACACGAGCAAGGGGTACGTGTATGACCACACGCCACTGGCTGCTGTTTGTGGATGTCGTCGGCCAAAGGCCTCTCTCTGGCATGCGTTTTTGACTGGTAGCGGGTGACACACGGAGCAAACACGCCGTGGAACAAGAAAAAAGACCAAAAATTCAACATCGCAACACACTTTGGTTCACGTTTGCAAGCCGTGTACAATCAAAACTGCACAATACGCTCTGTTTCTGGTGACCGAGCAGAGGGTACGAGTATGACCACACGCCATTGGCTGCAGTTTGTGGATGTCGACGGCTTAAGGCCTCTCTCTGGCGTGCGTTTTCAACTGGTCGCACATGAAGCAGGCGAAAAAACGGCTCTTTTCGGCCGAACGGCAAGAACGTTAGCAGAGCAATGTGGCAGGGTTGACGTTTTCGGCTCGTGTGCGACCAACACGACGCAGAACGCCCTGAATTTCAGAGACCTTCAGAGGTTTGTGCATGACCTCATGATACTGGCCTCTGTTTGGCCAGCAGACGGTGTCGTTTCTCGCTCTTGTACGATCGGGGTGTGACCAGGGGGTACCCCCCCCCCCCCCCATTTCTAACAACGATATTCCAACAGGATCGCCGTTGGAAAATGGGCCAATTTTCTAACAGGCCGGCCGGAATCGCTGTTGGATTTTTGGACTGTTGGAAATTGACATTTTCCTACCCGTAAGACGCCCAAATAATTATTTTTGGCTCAGAAAAGGACCCCCCCCCCAAAATCCAATCCGGAAAAAATCAAGCCGTAAGACTCAGCCTAAGGGGCACAGCAGGAGCAGAAAGAGCCATGGGCGATATGGGTCGTGGAAGTTGTATCCAATCTGTCGGTTTGAGATGGTGTCTTATCCTTGCGCCTGTGGAGGTTCTACTCGTATTTGAGAGGAGTTTCGTTTTTTGGTTGTGGCCACACTTTGTAAACTGGCCTGCATACACCATCACCTTTCTCTTTTCTCACCCCGTCGGTCCGTCCTTTTCGTCTTGTTTTGTTGCTTGGGGGTCAAGGTGATGAGCGCGGAGTGGTCCAAGCACGACATCAACTGCAACACCGTCGGCCCCACCATCGTCTTGACCGACATGGGCGCCAAGGCGTGGGGGTGAGTCGCCGTACCCCCCCCCCCTTCCCCCCTCTCGTGTTTACAACGGTACCTGTGTGCTGCACACCACAACGACTTACGGTGTGCCACACTTGTGTCCCGCCTTTTCTTCCTCAGCAACGTAATGTTGATCTCTCTACTGTTTGCGTGTGATTGGTTTCGCCTGACACGCTGGGTGAGAGGAGAGGGACAAGTGAGAAATTACAATGCAGAACGAGTGGCGCTGGGGAAACCTTTGCAAGACGCACCATCGTGCTATCCGCCAATGCACACAGGCTGCCGACAGTTGCATATCCCACCCCGAGTGCGAGTTCGGAGCTCTACTGCCACGGCAACTTGCTTATCGCATGAAAAGCAGAACGTTGGGTCCCTCTGCGTTTTCCGTATTCGCCTTTTCGATGGTGATTCACCTTTTTTCGTGTTGGCTCCAAACGTTTTCTCCACCCCCCCCCCCCCCCTGGTCCGGTGAGAACCCGGCGTGGTCCGTCCCGGCTTTGTAGGGATGGGAGGTCAATGGTCGAACGACTACGGCATGCAGGAATATGAGTTACACCCCCCCCCCCCCTTCACCCGCCTCGGTGTTTGCCGTCGGGATTGGGTTTTCGTCGCTTGGCAACGACGTTGTAAAAGAAGTCAATTCACTTCCGTGACCTCGGCAACCAGGTTACCGTTTTGTTTGTACCTTCGTTTTTTTTTGGCGGTAACCACAATGGTGGTCGAGTAGATCATGTTGTGCGGGGTCGAGAAGCCTCACTCGCGCAAGGGGAATGATCGCACCACGTTTGTGTTAAAATGGTCAAGCATCCTCGAGGCAGTTACACAGTGCTTATAACTGTCTCTGGAAGTGAAAGCACCAGAAAATAAATCAAGTCATACGCAGCTGTCATCCGTACGCAAGGAAGTAAGCACAAGATGCCGAACACCCTTAGCAGGATGCAGCGTACCCTTCATGCGACTCGCCGAATACTCACGGCGATTCGCGCTTGGTGATGTGAGAGCCTGGTCCGGTGAGAACCCGGCGTGCTCCGTCCCGGCTTTGTAGGGATGCGAGGTCAATGGTCGAACGACTACGGCATGCACGACTACGAGTACACCCCCGCCCTGCGCGTAACCTCTGTTTATCTAAGTGCTTCATTTCATTGCTATCCTTTGTCGCAGCGACCCGACGAAGGGCGACCCCATGATCGACCGCACCCCTCTCGGCCGCTTCGCTGAGCCCTGGGAGATGGCACACGGCGTGGTGTACCTTGTCAGCCCGTCCTCCAGCCAGATGTGCGGACAGATGCTCCTCCTCGACGGTGGCATCACCACCACCGGTACTCCCTGCGGAACGTAATCGCCCAATCCGACGCTGTCGATATCAGAGGAAGGGGTTGTGCCTCTTAGATGTGTCTTACTAACGTTTGGTGGGTGGTCCGTAGATGCTTTGTTTGTCTCACAGCGGTGCTGAATAGAATTGCGCTCGCTGTTGAAGTGTGTACATCGTGTGGCCTGAAGTGCGTTGGGTGTTTCCCTTGCGTGAGAGACATGGGGAACTTGACGTATCGTGTGTTTGGCGTGCGCTCTAGGCGTCGCTTTGTGTATGTTCGCAAACGCACAGGCGTGGTCAGAGACCATGCGTGTGAATGCTTGCAGATTGCTCATTTGCCGGCTGGTGTGTACGTTCCCATCAGGGGCAGATGGTAGAAGGACAGGAGCGAGCGGAACAATATCCTCCGAAAGGTATTTGAACGACTCAGGTTGCAACACGATCCACTGCTCTAGGTCGTGTGGTGATGAAACTTGAGCTCACCCCCGTATCCAGGGCCACACGATATCTATCTTCCTTTTTCGTTTCGGCGTTGTTGTTCCTGACGTGACGGCGGTTTTCCGGCGTGACACCAAGGACGACTTTTTTTCCCTTTGCATTGGATCAGGACAGCATGTATTTCGACGGAGTGCGACGTTGAGACCGTTCTCTCTTTTGCTGTCGCGTATCTCTCGATGGTCGAGATGAACAACCAAATGCCAGTGATTGTGAAGTGGAAGAACCAAGATGTGTTCACACGCTCAGCTAGTGGTGTGATACCGACCGTGAGACTGCTGAGCCGTGTTCCACTGTGCAAGGAGCGAGACCCGTGCAAAGTCCGATACACAATGTACACTCACCCTTGCGTGCCTAACCCCAAGATACAACTAGATAAAGTTAGGAGAATGTACGTTCCCCCGGCACAGCATATCAAACCATCAACTTCGAGCACGGTTCCTTCTGTTCACCAAAACACAAATAACTAATCTATTTCCACCACCAAAGATAAGTTTAGAATCCGGCACGAATTACTGCTGCTGTAGCAATGATTTTAGGAGCTACTTGCGGACAGTGCTGTTTCCACGGCTCTCCGCTGAGCACCATACAATGAGACATCTCCCCTCCCGGTGGTTAACCCTCCTACCTAGTGCTGGAAGCCCAAATGGGGACACTTTGGGGACACAACACTCAACTGCCTATTTACGGCACAGCAGTCACCCTACCTAGGCTCCGCTGTGTGCAACGCACGTGAGAACTGTTGGTCTATCATGCTTGGCTGAGGTGGTACGATGTGTGATATTATATGCTGTGTGATGCCTCTCCTGGGCCTCTGACTTGCTGTACACATCTATCTCCCAACCCGCGTGCCCCCTAGCTAGCTAGGTCTTAAAGCTGTACACCGCCTGGTATTTGCTTGTTCGTTAGTGGTCTCTCCACCGTGTGCCTGTTTCTGCCTCTTATTCTTGTTATTATCGGCCTGGTCCCTTTTTGCCCTCGCTCTTTTTCACCTTATTTTCATTTGATTTTCTCTTTTTCATACATGTACTGTCTCCTTTTTATTTTATTTTTTCTCTTTTTTCTCTTTTTCTCTCTTCTTTTTCTGTGCCAGATGGCCTTGTCTCTGCTTGCGTTGTGAAGTACCAAGATTGAACCAAGGGATGTACCTCTTTCTCTCCGGCCCATGATGATAGTGACTCCTAGTCTCAGTTGATACCTCGCATAGCGCGCAGAGGGAGTGGAAGACTCCAGAATATCTATCTGTCGTTGATTTCTATTGACTTGCGGAGCTTGTTGTGTACCATACACCATGGTGTTATTTGGTACAGACAGCAGTACGCTGTAGTCGACAAACATTCATTTTGGTGAAGTGCGGGACAAGGGGGGTGATGCCGCTGCTGTATTCGAATTGTAGTGTGTGGGCGTGTAGTTCAGTTGTTGTGAGCACGCAAACGTGCTGCAGGGATTGATTGGAGGTGTACCTCCTCGGGCTTGTGTATACCCTTTTCTTGCTAATAGTGTGCGTGTTCTTTAGATCTTCTGATGGCTCTAGCATTTTTGTGACCACGGGCCGAGTCTTTGCTAGATTTTGGGATTAGCAACTGACACGAGTTTAATGTGAAGAAAACAACAACAACAACAACAACAACAACCCCTCGGGGCCAGTTTATTTGAGTGTGTACCTTTTTAGGGTAAGTTAACCTGTGACCACGGGAATCGACCGCGTCGAGTGTTGGATCAGTACGGACATACGAAGGTACTGGGTAGAGAGAGATCGGAACGGTTTTTAATGTGAAGACAACAACAACATCAACAACAACAACAGAACAACAACTGGATAAATTTACTGACTCGGGTTCAGTATGAAAAGTGTTCCCACGTGTTTTTCCCACGTGTTTTTGGGGACACTTATTTTACTGAAGTCAAGTCACTGGCAAGGAGCTCAGATTATTTTCTTTGTAGTATGTGCCGCACTGCTCCCGGGTCCCAAGATGCATCATCTCTCTTGTATCTCTTACAAGTAGCAAATTGTATCTACAACAGTATCTATCTGTGTACATGTATCATCCATATGCATTTACTGTAAGTAGCAAAATCTGCTACTTCGTTGACATCTACTTTTGTAGCACACATTCCAGAACTGCTACCCATCGGACCCATCCGGGGGTCGTCTTCAAATGGGTGTGCGTGTGTTGGAAGTCTTACTAGGAGTGAGCAGGACGAGGGTCATGCACAAGATGTACAGAGTAGTCGTCGAAGATCGAAGATACATCAACCTCATACATCAGCCGCCAGTGCGGCACAACTGCCACGTAGGATAACCCGAGCGGGAACATAATCAAAATGTAAACCCAACCAAGGTTCTACCCTAGCCCTTCGTACTTTGCACTTCGCCCTTTGCACTTCGCACCTCGCTCCCCAACTTGACTTGTGAATTCCACATTTCGACGTTCGGTGCTGCAAACGGACCACCACACACCGGCCCCTTCTTCAGAACGAACACTTTGCTCTTACCATGCACACCACGCACTGCTGTGGGTGCAGGAGAGGAACACCGCGTTTCTTCGCGGTTGAAGCCTGGATGGAAAGCCGGGCAAACGGCGGCAGGCACCCATCCACGCGCACGGGCTGCCTAGTCTCTCCTATTGCCGTCGTTGTTGCACGAGCTCGTGTATCCCTGCTCCAGTCCAGCAGCCAACAAGTTCTGGATCTACCGTCAGGGGTTCATACCTTCCCCCCCGCCACTGTCGAGATAGAGTCAGTTCGAAACCCCACGCATGCAAGCGGCGCGTGTGGAAGTTCGCCGCTGCTGTCCTTGCATACGACCACCTTCAAGAATCACTTCTCTCCGGTACAAAAGGGGAGCGGGCACATAGCTGCGTGGGGTTGTACATAGGGGCCGGCTGGGGTTTGGGTGTTTTTCTGTGGTCTTCCGCAACATGGCCACCATAGGTCGGGCTCCGATGCAGATTTTTTTGCGCGGGCCACTTCGGGTGCTCTCAAGTCGGGGGATGGCTACTGGCCGAGCGCCCCGGGAAGAACCTCCGTTCCCGTGGAGGTGCGACATGCTAGCCGGCAAGGCGGCTATCGTGACAGGAGGTAGATCGGGCATTGGTGCGAGTATCACCGAGGCACTGGTGAGAGGGGTCGTCGTAGTACAAGACTACGGTTGCCCAGTACGAAGGAGTCATCTTACGTGAATACAGAAGATAGGCGGACACGGCTGCAGACGATGATGCTGGCGAATGAATGTCTTTTCGTTTCGTCATGATGTGCGTGTTCAACTCATGGGACACCGACAAAGCTAGGGAGCAATATGCACCTGTTCAACGCTACGCTCTGGGGCGTTGGCTATATCCGAGCAAGGCGGCACAGCAAGAGCGTTCATCGTCGTCGGCTCATCTTCTGTCGTCAAGTTGTCTGGTGTGTGGCGGCGCTAGACGGGGTAGACGAATGTAAAATGCGTGACATCATTACTCGTTTTGTGTCGTGCCCTACAGTACATAGTCTAGCTAACCTATCGCGACAACCGTTTGAGAGCGTTGAAACTGTTCAAGGGTGCCGCTAGTTTACATTTCCACTAGAAAGGTGTACCCCCCCCCTATGGGGGGCAGTTGGTTTCTGACCACAAAAGGCGTCCGCGTCAGTTGGACTGTTATAGTACGGACATTAGAAGGTACTGGGTGGAGACCGGAACGGTTTTTAATGTGAAGACAACAACAACAACAACAACAACAACAACAACAACAACAGCAACAAAATTATGGACACCAAGCATCGATAAGCACGCGCCCCGCTTCCCACTGAGCCAGGATTTCGTGTACACTGATGTATTACCATTCCAACTGAACGCCATTGGTGACACCATTTTCCGATCTACCCGTGAGCGAACAAGTTCGTTTGAAAAGCAACGTCGCCAGCAATGGACTGCAGTTGGTGACTTTGCCAGCTTGGCTGTGCTTGTGGTCTAAGACCGAGTGCAGAATACCCGACCGCTCATAAAAAAAACGCGACAGACAGTGAAGCTCCTATTCTTCGCAAGCAACATATCCCTCATCCTGCTTGCCTGTATTCCTGCTGTACGTCTGACCCCCTCATACGTCGCCGCTCGGGGATTTCCCCAGCTCCGAGCAGGTGCTTCCGTCGCTGTTCTCGCGAGGAGCCGGTCAAAGTTCGACGGCCTCCTTCCTGTTCTCGAGGAGAAGAAACTGCCGGTCGACAAGACCCACTTCATTCCAATCGATCTGTCCAGCACGGACGACATCAGGCGAGCAGCCGTCGAAGCAAATGACTGGGCGGGCGGTTGCGCGGACATCCTCGTCAACAACGGTGAGCTTCACCGATTGATCGGAATGCACCAGTTGGTTGTCCTCCAACAGGTGGTCGCTCTATGTGAATAGCATGGGAGGTGGGCTTAGCCACTGGCCGCACTCGGATGGCACAAAGAAAATGGAACAACTTGTTTTGCTTGGTTTGCGGTAGATGTTAAGCTGTGGGCTGTTGGCGAGGCATAGATGGACCCTTCCTCGCTTGGCGTTGATATTGTGCTGTTCCACTTGCCCACAACTGTGCTGCGCTATCCTCGTCCGCGCTTTGTTGCAGCTGGCGTGGCCACTATAGCCCCCATTCTCGAGGCCACCATCGAGGACTGGGACTGGACCATGAACGTAAGAAATAGGAGAGGGGCCGGAAACAGTAGCCGTGAAGGACCCTTCCAGCGTGATACCTAAGTTGTTTACTTGTTTTCGCCCAGAGAGCCGCAAGAACAAGCATCTAGTGCTACGATATGCCAAGACAGACATGGCAAGACTTTAGTCAGACCCTCTGTGCAGAAGGTGCATGCTCTACAATGGCTATCTCTTGCCCGTACTCGAGGAACTTCCTGTTGCTTTGTGAGAGGATCTTCCCTATGATGTTCATGCCTGAACCCACACTCACGCGTACACTGGTAGGATACAACAGGGACCTTCACGTTCGTTCTTTTGTTTTGTTTGGGAACTTCGTCCGTCCGTGTTTGAGCTTTTTGGGGCATTTACGTAGGTGTTGCGTTTCGTTTTGTTACGACCCCTTTTTCCCGTCTTAAGGACGATCGACCTGATGTCGTTTGGTACGTCGTTTCGTTATAGTTATTGGTTTTTCTTTTACATAGCCGCGATTTGGGCAGTTGGTTGGTACTACGGCCCCTTGTGTTTTGTCTCTGTGGCGTTCGGTTTTTCACCGTTCGTTTGGTACGTCGTTTTAATATTCGATTTTCTGCGTCTTTGACTTCGTCATTCCGACGACTGGGTTTTCCTTTTGGCGTTTGAGTTTAGGCGTATCGCCTTTTCGTTCGGTTTTGGTATTTTCGTTTCTTTTTCCGTTCGGGCTTCTATTTCTGTTTTTAGTCTTCTTGTCCTTTGAACCGTTTTCGTTAGCACTTTCACATTCGTGTCACGGCGATGGTCTTTGCCCATCTAATGTAGAGGTGTGTGGGAGGGTGAATTGCTGAGTTGTGGAGTTTCGCATCTTTGATTCATCTTCGAATTTTAGATTTGACCTGGTCATATCTTGGGGTTTCCATGTATCTGCATATACGAACCTCCAGGGTGGGCTAGTGCTATGAGATTTGAGTACAAGGACCTTAACGGCAGGCAAGATATTATGTAGATCTGGCGGGAACTGCAACTTCTTCTGTGGATGATTGCTAAACAGGGGATATAGCCATTGCATCCCCCCTCTCAGCAAGGAGCGGCCCGTGCCCCCTTCCGTTCAGTCTATCTTCGGAGCTAGGAACAGCAAGTGTACTGCTGTGTTGAGAGATAACACGAAAGAGAACAAGAACAAAGTGAGTCTTCATCAGGGTCTCCCGGGATAGCTACGCGTTCTCACCACAACCGTTTGTCACTTGGCCCTCGCCGTTGTTTTATGGGTGAAACGCTTTCGTTTTCTTGTCTATTTCTTGCATTTATCGTCCCTGGAGTCAGCTGAAACGTACCAAGCATGCTGACGAAACCTTGTGCACAAAGGGAAAAAATAATCGTATTCATTTTTGGATCTCACAACTCAAGGTAGAACCGAACCATAAAAATAGCTTATTCCTGCGGACAAACTGCGAATTCTTGTGCATGAGCTTAGGCAATGGTACCTCTTGCTGTCTTTTTTCTCTTCGCCTTCGTTGCTCTTACGTTACTCCTCCCTCTGCTTGTTGAACTCTTGCTCGAAAACCTTATCCCTCTCAGTTTCGCCACTCTCTGTGTGTGTGGTG